CAGTTCTTTGCATCATTGATTCTTTGTATTTTGTTTGTTTCTTTTTATTTCATTGGTTTCTTCTTAGAATTTTATGATTTCTTGCTATCTACTGGGCTTGTGTTTGATTAGGATTTTGTGTTTCCAAATTTTTGTATTGCATCATCAAGTCATTTATTCGTTCTCTTTCTGATTTCTTTTTAAATGTAGGCATTTAGAACTATAAATTTCCCTCTTAAAAATGTTTTTAATGTATCCCAGAAGTTTTGTTATTATTGTTGTTGTTGCTGTGTTTTCAATTGCACTTAGTTTCAGGAGCATTTGTATTTCTTTCTTGATGTCTCCTTTGATGCATTTATCATTCAGTAATGTGTTATTTAATCCCTACTAGTTTATGCTCACTGAGTTCTGTTTGGTATTGCTTTTAAGTTTTATGGCATAATGCTTTGATTGTACACATGGAAGTATTTCTGTTTTTCTCTATTTGTTATGTGTGCTTTTGGTCTGTGTGTCAGTTTTAGGGAAGCCTCCTTGTGCTGCTGAGTAGACTGTGTATGCTTTGGTGCTGGGCAGACTGTTTTGTAGAAATACTAGGTCCATTGGATGTAAGGTGTCATTTAATTCTGAGGTTTTCTCTGTATGTTTTTTTGAGATGACGTTATCTGTTGGTGAAAGTAGGGTGCTGAAAGCATCTACTGTTTCAGAGTGTCTGTTCATCTGTGCCTTTAATTCCATTACTGTGCTTTTTATGAAATTAGGAGCTCTTGGAGCCATTCACATTATTTTTGTGATTTGACCTGGGCATCATGTGGACTACTTTTTTTGTTTATTTGTTTGTTTCATTTTTTGGGTTGTGTTTGTGACATGAAATCTGGCACTTCCTAGGTTAAGCCAGTATATGAGCTGAGGGACCTAAGCTAGGACATTTAAAACAGGTGTATGAGCTGTTTAGCTGGTCCAGGCAAAGATGCCCCCAATCCAGGGGTATGAAGCTAGGTCTGTGAGTGCAGAGATGGCATGGGCAAAGGGAAGGCTAAGAGAAGAAAGGAGTGTCTCACCAGCTGAAGATGGCTCTTGAACAAAAAGCTCAAAGGCCTTTATCTGGAGCTTGGTCTATGGAGACAGTCACAGGCTTGGGCGACACGGAGGAGGATGGAGGAAAAAGGGAAAGGGAGAGATCGACTGAGCGGGGCCAAGCAGACTCAGGAACATAGAGTGTTCATGGGGTCCTTGTGTGGACCTCTGGGTCTGTAGATCGAGGTGGGATGGACGGATGGACGGGCAGAGGTGCCATGGGAAAGAAAAGACTTATCAGGCAAATGATGCTCAAATGGAGAGAGTTCCGGGCTTCAGGTCTGGAATTAGGCTTGTGCATTTACAGGCAGTGGTGGGCTGGGGCTGGGGACAGGAAAGAGGCTACTCTCCCAGGAAAGGTGACTCCTGTATCAGAGGTTCCCCAGCCCCACCCTCTGCTGTCTTACACTTCTTTCCATGCTGCATGAAATTGTCTTTACAGTTCACTGTGTGTGACTTCCCCCGCTCACACACAGTTTGTGGTTTTGTCTATTAAGTGTCCTGATCATATGCTTCCCCGTGTCCCCAAGCCAAAGTAGACAGAATGAGGCCCATAGGGGATATGTGGATGTCACATCAGCTTCATTCAGGCATGGCTTGTGTGGCTATTGCCCTAGTGAATCAAAGCTACATGTTTAATTTCTTTGCAGAGAAATTAAAAAAAGATGTTATATTGGCTAGCTGAAACGTGTGTGCGCAGAGACTTGCAGACTGGCTCTGCATTCCTTGGGCCTGCAAAGTTGTTGTGCATTAATTCATTATTCATGGAAATTTTTCACAACTGAAGAACCACATATACAATGAAATGACAACTGTATGAAAATGTAAATCAAACATGATTCCCTGGGGGAAATCAAGTGAGATTAGTGAAGACAAATACTCTCTCTGAGACTCTTGATCAAAGTCAGTTTAGCTTGGCATAAGATGTATGTCACGTGATATCTGCAGAGTAGGCAGAATAACTAATGCTGTGTTTACATCCTAATGGTTTTTACTGTTTGTTAATAAAGCAATTGCTTAACTTAAAAAAAAAAACATTACAAATCAAAACAAAGTCTCTCATCAGCCCTAGCTTATAGAAACAATGATAGTTTAAGTTAAATAAATAACTTATATGTATTAGCAAAATTGTACCTATTGTACTTTTTGGTGTTTTATTTATTTATTATCTGTGTAACCTGGGCTATCCTGGACTCACTTTGTAGACCAGGCTGGTCTTGAGGTCACAGAGATATGCCTGCCTCTGCTGGGATTAAAGGCGTGAGCCACCACTGCCCAGCCCACATTCCTAAACTTGCCCGTCTCTTGCTTTTATCATTTATTTATTTTTGCCAGAAACCTTTTCACTATTGAAACATTTTAAAGTATTTTACTTTCTGGGTAGTGATTTCCTATATCGTTTGCTTTTCAATTAATCTATATAATTTATCAACCTTTGGATAGCTATGTAAATGACTTGAGGGGGAAAAATACAAACTGAATGTGTAAATGACATCCTTAGGCACCTGTCCAGGCTGGTGTGATTGTGTCTGGGGCCCTTCAAAAGCCAATTGAAATGTGACGTGTTGCACTATAAAAAGACAGAGAAGATGCCCATTTGAATAGCAGTTGTGCCCCAAAGCTATTATCACCACACAGGACAGTATAGACTGTGGCAGAACAGGTGGTCTCGGGGTCTCCACACCCACGGGACACTCAGGAGTTTGCAGAGTAGCATTTGTGCCTCGGTAAGAAAAGTTCACACGGGGATACGCCTGAACACTCACATCTACTTGGCACATGTGTTCAGGCATGCATAAAGTCATACAAGCATATTTCTGGCGCAGACGTGAACCATGGACTATGCTTATGTGCTCACACCTATGTACCCCATACTTAGGCATGTAGGTACCAAGATGCAGCGTATTTCTTGTCGGAACAAACACAAGGAAATTAGATTAAATTGAATTAAATTAAATTCTGAAGTCTACTAATCTTATGTTCATGGTTTTCTTCCTTTCTTGTGTATGCATATGGTATGACTCTGTGTGTGTGTGTGTGTGTGTGTGTGTGTGTGTGTGTGTGTGTGTGTACACAAGTGAATGTGCCTATGGAGGCCTGAGGCTGGAGTCTGTAATCTTCTTGGATCGTTCTCTACCTCGTTCTTTGGGGCAGACTCTCTTGATCAAACCCAGACACCACCTAGACAGTTTCTCTAGCCAGGTTTCTGGCAGGATCCCCTCGTGGCCTTCTGGGGCTGGCATGGCCACACCGCAGCCTGTTTCCCAGAGCTCTAGGAATCCGAGGCCTCTTGTCTGAGCTGCAAGTCCTCTAACCATTGGGCCACCTCCCTAGCCCTAAAGCCTATTAATGTTCTTTTTGAAAACGTTCCATCTTTCTGCCTCATCCCATCTATTTGGCTCTACTGCAGGTATCATTCTTCCATCAGCTTCAAACACATCGGGTTCTAGTATTTGTTGGATAGGCCTGCCATCAGCAGATCACACGCACAGCACACGCGTACACAGTAGTGCGCTACAGCGGTAAAAAAACGAGCAGGGACCATCTGCACTAAGGTGTTCGCCCTAAACACAGGAATTCGGGACAGAGCAGAGCTCATCCATCTGTGCAAAAGCCCCGGCGAATCCCGGGGCTGTGCCTGAGCCTGCCCCTCCTCCACGCTGAGAGACGGAAGCTGTAAACGTTTCAGGAGCCGGAGATCAGTTCGATGTTCACTGTAATTACAGGCAGAGATGGTGGCACGAAGGGGAAATATGCCAAAATCTCCTGTTACTGTGGTGTATTTTTCAAGGACTTAAATCCCTTTCTAACACGAGTTTACGGGTCATTACAGCAACCACCTCCCCCTTTTCTCCGTTGATACAACTGAGCTATTGTTTCTCCTCCTTTTCTCTTCAGATATATCAACTATTAAGTTTTGTTTTGTTTTTTTGGCAGAGTGGTATGCCTGCTTGAAATTTCTAAAATAAAAAAAAAAAGCATGACCAACTATAATCTGTTGTGTAAGATATATATGACACCCCAAGTTTGAGTTGAATTCATAAAAATCATAAGTAAATAAATAACATTACTCACTGGGATATCCTTACACTTTCAAAAATAAATGAATGCATTTTTTTCAGAAGTTTAAAGTCAGTCTGTTTCGGCTTTGTCACTAGGTGTATTGTTTTTAAGCTAGCCAAAGTAATATAATGTATTATATTATATTATATATATATATAATTATATATATATTATATATATAATTATATATAATATATATATTATATATAATATATAATAATTATATTATTATAATATATAATAATATAATATATAATATAAGTATTATGCCAGAGAAGTAGACTTGAGCATCATAGCTTTGTTAACTTACCGTTTGCATACATTACCAACCTGGATTTTGTGACTCTCTGAAATTATTTCCTATTTTAAAATAAAACCCCAATCTCAATTTAAATTTGAGCCTGAGAATAACTTAATACATTAAGTTTTTTTTTTTTTTTTAACAAAAGAAAACAGATACATTTTTCTCCACAGGTGCTAAGAGGCTGATGGAGGCAAAATGGTCCAAATGTGCTTTTTGCTGAACTTTCTGTTTTCTTTACCAATCAAGGTCCTGAAGTTGTAAACTTCGGGCATAAAAACAGATGCATTTTTCTCCGTGGGTGTTGAAATGCTAATGGAGGCAAAATGGTCCAAATGTGCTTTCGCTCAACTTTCTGTTTCTTTATCCAGTCACGATCTTGAAATTGTAAACTTCAGGCATTTAAGGACTCTGGTGTGAGGACTGCACAGATTTACCTATGTATTTTTAGTACAACGAGCCTGTGATTTGGGCAGCTTACCTCTCTCTTTCTCTATTTAATGAAGAGATGTTTTACTTTTAAGCTGGAAGACTTATACAAATGATAAGAGAACAGACAATTTTTCTTTCATTTTCTTTTCAGCTCACTCCAGTTGGCACGACAATATTCACAGGGTTTTCAGGAGACAATGGAGCTACAGACATAGATGATGGCCCTAATGGACAGATAGAATATGTCATTCAGTACAACCCAGAAGATCCGGTATGTATCAACATTCCATTTTGTTATGAGACATGTAACAGGTATTTGCTTTACCTGATACAGTTGCTAAATTATCCCCAAGTTTCATTAATATTGATGATTCTTTTATAAAAGCTTATTTTGGAGATAGATATAATATGCCTTTTTTTTAACTAAATTTTTCATTACACTGGCAAACACAGGAAGTGTGTTTCTAGTGTAGAACAGCCCTGATGCCCCAGCCATGCCACTAACTGACCCTCTATGAAACAAGACACAGCTTCCATCAATGTCCTTTGTGGTCTGTGGGTGGAGTCAAATGGTTTGTTTTAGGTCAGAGGATATTCGCATCTGTTTTCTTAATTGTTTTGGCCATGAAATTATTTATTTCTAGTGACTTACTGCACAAAGTCAGAGTTCTTTAACTGAAAGTGCCAGGAGAACGCAGCCCACCGAAGCAACTAAGCAGGACTCGTATGAGCTCACAGACACTGAAGGGGCAAGCTCTGGGCCTGCCTGAGTCTGTACCAGGTCCTTCAAGTATGTTTTGCCTGTTAGCTCAATGTTTGTGTGGAAATCTTAACAATGGAAATAGGTATGTCTCCGACTCTTTTCCCTGCGCTTGGGACCCTTTTCCTCCTATTGAGCTGCCTTGAACAGCTTCAAGATGAGGGCTTTTGCCTTGTCTTGTTGCATCTTCTTTTGTCAGCTTTGGTTGTTTTCCCTCAGAGGCCTGCTCTTTTCTGCAGGGAAATGAAGAAGGAGTGGAGGTGATGGTGAGGGAGCTAGGAGGATGGAGGGAGGGAAAACTGTGGTCAGAATGTGTTGTGTAAGATAAGAATCGATTTTCAATTAAAAAAAGAAATGAAAATAAATAGGTAAGTAAATAAAACTCCAACCTGAGTCCTGTCCTTTCTTCTTCACATCTCCTGTATTGTGTCCCCTTGAACAAAGTGAAAACTACTTCCTGATTTCCACTGTGATACTGCTCATTCACAATTGTATCAGGTACATAAAATGCAGTACAGTTAATGTCACACCACCATTGCTCCGCCCTGGACTCCATACGTAGCTTTATACAAACCAAGAAGAAAGAGGGAGAAATCCTTGGGCCTGCAGATTGTGGAATCCTATCCATGTCCAGCTGCAACTGGTTATAAAAATAAATGAGAGGCTCACAAACAGCATCTACATATTCTTGCGTTTAAAACAAGTAAATGCTTTGAAATTAAAATATAATGCATAATTTTCCCTTCCCTTTTGTGCCTCCTGCCTCTTTATCTCTCAAATTCATGTCCCCTTCATGCAAACATACAAAACATATATACGTATGTATACTTATAATCCTAAATATGATTATAATTTGCTCAGTCCAGACAATGTTACTTGTATGTATATAACTTCAGAGCTGACCAACTAATACTGCACAACTAATTGGAGGCATCTTCCCTGGGGGCTTGCTTCCCTCAGGTCAGGTAGCTCAGGAGGGGAAACCAGGTCCTGAGGTGGAAGCGTCTGCTTGTCTGCTCGGTGTTTTGGAATACAAAGCCTCATTTCAGAGGAGCAGCTTTGCATTGTGTGCTAATGAGATGGCTATTGGTGACCTTTGTTGAAATTTAGAAAATACGAATTAAAGACAAAATCTTAGGAACTTAACAAGATCGTGAGAAGGCTTTGAAAATGTGGAGTTGGTTTTCTTGGTTTTCTTCTGTGTGTGTGTGGGGGGGGCGGTTCATGAAGGTGCCATTGTGTACATGCAGAGATCAGGAGAAAACCTTGGGTCTGGGTTCTCACCTCCATCCATATCTGAGGCAAGTGTCTTATTTGCCGTTGTGTACATCAGGAAGCTGGCCTTGATGCTCCAGAAATTCTGTCTCTGCCTCCTATCTCATTGTGAACACATGGGGGTTTCAAGCCTGTGCCGCTGCATCTGGTTTCATGGGTTCTAGGGATTTGAGCTTAGATCCTCACACTTTTGCAGCAAGCATTTCACCCACTGAACATTCTTCCAGGATCCCCAGAGCACATTATAGGGAACCCACCTTCAGTCATCCTCGACAGTTAGTGCTGGCTTCATTTCCAGTGTCCTACTGTTGGGATCTGTGACAGAGCTACCTGGTGAATTTTTTTATTTTCTGCTGCTGTGAATCTCCTAGTGATTAATATCATTGTAACGTTATGATTATTTCTAAATGTCTAGACAACTGTAATTTCAAGTTGATATCATGCTACATAGCACAGGATTAAAAAAATATACAGACTGTCTCCTTTCTTTTCCCTTGGTGCTTCAAGTCAGATCTTTAATCTTTTAGTCAGATATTTGTGAAATGGATCCTAAGTCAACTCACACCCTCACAGATTTGCCCACACAGCCACTTATGCAATTTTGAGCCAATGTGGAAATACCATGAAATTTCACGTAAAAATACGGTTTCTTCTGCTTTCTTGAGAAATGTGTGAGTTTCACTCTGACAGTAATCTTCTGGTGTTGGTCTGGATCCTCTTTTATTTCCGAGGCACTGAGGAATTACCAATCAATGCCAGACTCCATCGCTTCCCAAATTAAACCAGTTTCCCATCCTGTAGATTAGCATCGTGCACTGGAATAATACAAATTATTTCCTGGTGTTTATTTGGTGGTGTATCGTTTAATCACCTTAACCAGTGCTTTTGGTAAGAGAAGCAGGGGCTTGTTTAGCTCTGCTGCTGGCTTGCTGTGTCATTGTTCTCTATACTTTCAGGGTTTTTTCATTTAATTTCAGTGTTTAATGACATGGCATTTGCATTTCAGTGTATATCATCCCTAAATTAAATCAGCCAGTTAACACACCAGTTCCTCTGACTTCCCTCTGACCCTTCCTAGTCAGAGGCTCTAGTTACAGGAATACTAAGCATTTTGATTGTGTGTGTGTATGTGTGTGTGTGTGTCCATGAACCCTATTCATTAACTTTCAGTATATTTTCATCCTTTGTCTGCAAACTGTATATCATCTATTAGTCTATGTTCAAGGCTACTACGTCTTCAGCCAGTTCTGTTCTGTTGTTAAACCTTTTCCACCACCCGCTTTTATATTTAAAAACAATTCAGGTATTGCATACTGCGGGTCTAAATGCTCTGCATTTCATGGGTCTTGATTTCTTTGCAAACTATACTAAGAAGATTTTCTATTTTTTTTATTTGTTGTGCTTATTTTATGAATTTAGCACAGTAACTGTGATACTAGACAATTAGATAATTGAGCAGCACAAACTTTGTGTGGTTAAAACAATACTGCTTATTTGATTCTCCTCCTAAAACAACAACAACAACAAAACCTCACATCTTTTCGGTCATGTCCAGTTGCTATGGAGTGCCTCTGTGAGTCTGATACTGTTCGGACACTCCTGATTCTCCTCATGTTATTTGAATCACAACTGCAGATTTGTTTTGTTTGTTTGTTTGTTTGTTGCACAGCTCCTAATCCTATTCAGTGTGTGCCTTTCTTAGCTAATTAGCTAGTAGTGATCTTTATGAAAATGTGCTTTAGAGACAGCCCACACTTTCTCCTTCCCTCTCTAGCTTCTTTTCAGGATTTTCTTCCTCACCTTCATCGGGTTTTGTTGTCTTGAAACCTGTGCCTTCCTGTTTCAGTTTGTGAAGATTCCAGGATCTCCAGCAGACTTGGAGTATCTCAATATAATGCTGACACCAGCCATCCATGAGATAACTTCAAAACATAGAAGGCATTCCCCACTGTCTTCCTCTCTCGCCTTTAGAAGAGTCCAGCTTTGTTTTTCTACCCAGTTAGTGGAGAAGTGTATGCAGACTGGGTACCATGGGAGTCGTGCTTTCAGTAAAGGAGTACTCTTCCTTGTGTTTGCTTTTGGACCACCCTGGTGTTCCTAGAAGAATAAAAGCGCAACAGCAGCCATGAGGGCATCTCTTAAGATGAGCACAACACAGAAAAGCTCTGCATCCCCTTAGCCTGTCTGAATCCGCTGGGGATCTGCACCAGTGTGCTGTGGACTGTGTCACACTGTTACTGCAGCTGGAGACCCTGACTCTTCAAGTCTATTCCAGACTCTGTCCTCTGTAAAAATTAAACTTCTTAAAGATGTGGGACTCTGGGACGTTTATTCATCCCTTTCTATAAAAGAGAAAGGATGCTTTGATTAGAAGAAGATTGTGTACGGGGGTGCCAGCATGTCATTATGTCCCCAGTAGTCAGTAAATTAAGAAGGCAGTGTTATAGTATAATTATTATGCTCAATACTGAACAAACATAAGTGTTTATCAATGATTAGATTGGCTGTAATCACCAATCCTCAGGTAAGTGTTAGTAGCGTCATGCACTTTTCATAGACCTGGTGGCCTCAAACAAGACACTTTGATTTTCTCGTTGTTTGTGTCTTCATAACCTCTGCACAGCTCAGCTGAGCCTTCTGGGTTTCTCCAAGACTACACAGTACTAGTGAGAATAATTCCCATATGAAGACTTGACTCAGAATAACCTACTTGCAGGAAAACAAAAATTCCTGTCAGCATTTTTATATATTTTTATTTCTATTTCTGTTTTGCCATTTAAACATTTTAAAATATTTTTGTTTTATTATACACTTTCTTTTATTCTTATAACTTTTAAATTTTTAATTAAAGTATAATTAAATCATTTCTCCACTCCCTTTCCTCCTTCGGTTATCTGTGAGTATAAGGGTGAGTATTTAGAATACAGTTAAGAATCATGATGCTTTAATAAAGTGGAGGCAGTAGGTTTTCTTCTAAGGTTCATGACTTTACTAGCCCAGGTACTTGGTATACTTAGGTATCATACCAACTGCCATGAGGCATGATTTTCTTCCTATTGTATGGGCCTTGAGTCCATTAGAAACCTGTTGGTTAGCACCAACATACGATTACCACCATTGTACCTTTAGGTATATATTTTTACAGAACAATATATTTGATTAGCATTCATTCTTTCTATAAAAGGGATATTTTCATTGCTTGCTCAAATTCAAGTCAGTCTCTTTTGAGTGAAAAA